CTAGATGGTTTTGGGATCTTTTGTTCCTGATTCTGAGATGACTCTTTTAAAACGTTGTTGATGTTAAGTGCCATTGAGTTGGTTCCAGGTCATAATGACCCGGTTTAAAGTTTCTGAGGAGTGGTTGGTGGGTGTGAACCGCTGACCTTGAAACTCAAACTGACCTTGTGGTCCAGCACAGTGCCACACCAGGATTCCTTTTTAAACTTAGCAGGATGAAAAACTGACCAGTCCCATATTAGAGTCCCATATACCCTATTTGCATGGTTTTATCATTCCAGTGCTTATCCTACGGAGCCCTGGTTTGGTGCTGTAGGATAAGCACTGGACTGGTAACTGAAAGGTTAACAGGTCAAACCCATCAGCAGCTCTCAGAAACCCTACACAGGATCGTTAGGAGTTGGAACCGACTTGATGGCATACAACAACCCAGTCATTTGATGGAAGTTATGAGGACTAAGGCTGGAAGAACCATATGCCGTAATCTCACTACCACAAAGGTATTAACATACCAGGTAATGGAACATGTTAACGTTTAGGAAAGCTGGTTTGGAGCTGTCTGTTACCTTCATAATTTTCCTGCAAATCTAAAATGACTGCTAAATACGTTTGTTTTGTGTAACAGAACAAAGATTAAAATCAGGTAACAGGGCAACATGCCAAAATGTAAAACTGTGTATGTGTGTGTATGTGAGATAGCGAGAGGAAAAACCATTGTGATCAGTTTCTGCAACTCTTATAGTTTCTTTCGACTTCGCAGTATTTAAGTGTTACAACGATCATGTCACTTTTATTATAATTGAAAACACTTACTTTTTAACAACTCTAGTAGTATTGAGGGAGCCCTGGGGCACAGTGGTTAAAGTGCTCCATGGGCAACCAAAAGTCAGCAGTTGGAACCCACCAGCTGTTCCACAGGAGAAAGCTGAGGCAGTCTATTTCTATACAGAGGCAGCCTTGGGAACTGGGGGCAAGGGGGGCGGGGTGCGGTTCTGTTCTGTTCTGTTCTGTTCTGTCCTGTCCTGTAGGGTCACTAAGAGTCAGAATGGACTTAGTGGTGATGGTGTCTTCCCACATTATATCAACCAATAATTGTCACACAGCCCTTCAGTAATGGACATTGGAGCTCATTCTAGTTTTCAGTTATTACAGACAGCATTCCCACTGCCACCCAGTCAATTGGAACTCCTGGGACAGAACCTTACAGGATTTCTGAGATTGTAAATCTGGAAGTATGGATATTCTGGAACACTTTAATTGTGCTCATGACGAACCTATACACAGACCAAGAAGCAGTTGTTCAAACAGAACAAGGGAACACTGAATGGTTTAAAATTAGGAAATGTGTGTGCCAGGATTGTATTCTTTCACCATACTGTTTGCTGAGCAAATAATCCAAGAAGCTGGGTTCTATGAAGAAAAACGTGGCATCAGGATTTGAGGAAGACTCATTAACAACCTGCGATATGTATAGATGATAAAATCTTGCTTGCTGAAAGTGAAGAGGACCTAAAACATTTACTGATGACGATCAAAGAGCACAGCCTTCTGTATGGATTACATCTCAATGTAAAGAAAACAAAAATTCTCACCACTGGACCAATAAACAACATCCTTATCAATGTAGAAAAGATTGAAGTTGTCCAGGACTTCATTCTTCTTGGATCAACTGTCAACACTCATGGAAGCAGCAGTCAAGAAATCAAACGACATATTGCATTAGGCAAATCTGCTGCACAAGACCTTTTTAAAGTGTTGAAGAGCAAGCTTGAGGACTAAGGTGCGCCTGACCCAAGCTATGGGATTTTCAGTAACCTCATAGGCATGTGAAAGCTGGACAGTGAATAAGGAAGACTATAGGCGAATTCATGCATTTGAGTTATGGCCAGACTTTGCCTCTCATGCTTCATACATATCATCAGGAGGGACCAGTCTCTGGAGAAGGACATCATGCGTAATAAAGTGGAGGGTCGGAGATAAAGAAGACCCTCAACAAGATGGATTGGCACAGTGGTGGCAGCGATGGGCTCAGGTGCAGCAACGGTTATGAGGTTGGCCCAGAACCAGGCAGTGTTTCCTTCTGTTGTGCATAGTGTTGCTATGAGTCGGTATTGACTCAATGGCACCTAACAACAACAACAACAAATCTAGACAGGATTAGCTAGCTTGTCTTTTGCCCCTGGAATGACTGGTGGGTTTGAACTGCCAGTCTTGCAGTTTTCAGCCCAACATTTAATCCTCTGTGCCACCAGGATTCCTGTAAACAACAGACCCATAGCTAAGTTGTTACTTGGAATCCCACCTGTTTCTCCTGGGTATGTATATCTCTGAAGTGGAGTTTCTGGGTCAAAGTGTGTGCACATTTTAAGACTTCGGATCTTTTAGCATCCTCAGAGTGGTTTTGCTAACTGCTGCCTGCCTTCCAGAGTCCTGGTGTGGTGGTGTAGGATAAGCACTGGACTGTTGACTATAAGGTCAGTAGTTCAAACCCACCACCACTCCTCGGAAACCCTATACAGGGTCAATATGAGTGTTAAGCGACTCAACAACACTTAACAACAACAACTGTCTTCCAAAGTTCCTGGAAGGTGTCAACAATTACCATCTCTTGGCTGCTATCCAAAAGATTGGAGATTTCAGTCTACCCATAGGCATGTTAGAGTCCTGGTGTGGTGCTGTAGGATAAACGCTGGACTTATAACTGAAAGGTCAACTGTTCAAACCCACCAGCTGCTCCTCAGAAACCCTATACCGGGTTGCTGTAAGTTGGAACCGACACCACAGTTCCTAACAACAAAACAGGCCTGTTGGAAGCAAGGCATAGTGATCTACTGCCGAAAAATCACCCTTGAAACCCTGTCTGTAGAGCATGGTTCTGCTTTGACACACATGGAGTCGTCTTGAGTCAAAACCAACTTGATCTAAACTGGCACCTGCTTTCCTTGCCCACCGTGGGTATTGTCATTGTTGTCAGGTGCCATCGAGTCGTCGGAACCGACTCATAGTGACCCCATGCACAGCAGAACGAAACAATGTCTGATCCTGGGCCAACCTCACTACCACTGCCACACTTGACGCCATCAATGATGCCACCTGGCTGATAATTACCCCCCACCATGGGTATTTCATTCTGAAAGAAGTACTTTGGATTAACGTTTGAATAGGCAGTCCCTCCTGGGTTTTGAACAATTATGAATGTCCAACTTAGGGACGATTCCTACTTTACCCGTAATGTTAGTCAATTTGCCCTCACTTTGAACTTACTGAAGCAGTACCTATTCACAATGTAGTCTTAGTATGGCACTGTAGGGTAAGCATTGAACTACTAACCACAAAATCGACGGTTCAAATCTACCAGCCGTTCCTCAAAAACCCTATACAGATTTGCTGTGAGTCGGAACTGACTCGATGACACTTAACAACAACCAGTTCACAACAAATTGCTGATCACGGTCACCTTGACTTTCTGCACAGGGACAGATCTTCAGAACCAGCACTGATGTTGGGACATTGTGCTGGACTTGATCTTTGGTTTTTTTCCCCTTCATGAATTGCTATTCATATGTTTTGTCTATTTTCCTTTTGTTATTTGAGTATTTTGCTCCCCCCCCATCTCCCACCCCTAGTAACATCTTACATTGTGTTGTTAAGTGCCATTGAGTCAGTTTTGACTCATAGTGACCCTGTATAGGATTTCCAAGGAGCAGCTGGTAGGTTTGAACCACCAACCTTGTGGTTAGCAGTCTGGTGTTTATCCTACAGCACCACACCAGGACTCCAACATATTGTATTCATTACATGAACCAATTCGGATATATTATTATTAATGAAAGACCATAGTTTATTTAGATCCCGTTACTTTTTCCCTAGTGTCCTTTGTCTGTTCCAGGATCTCCTGTAAGACCCTACATAGCATTTGGCTGTCATGCCTTCCTGTGCTGCCCTGGGCTGTGATAGTATCTCAGACTTGGCTTGTTTCTGGTGACCTTGACAGTTTTGAGGAGCACTAGGCAGGTATATTGTAGGATGCCCCTTAACTGGGATTGGTCTCACGCCTTTTCCATGATTAGACAGGGCATAGAGGATTTGGAGGAACACCAGAGATACTCCGTTTTTATCACAGTAAGTGGCATATACTGTCAACCGGCATATCACTACTGATGTTGACTTCTATCCAACCCAACCTATGCCACTGAGTAGGAACTAACTTATAGCGACCCTACATGACAGAGAACTGCCCCATAGTATTTCCAGGACTAAGACTTTACAGCTTGCTATGAGTTGGAACCGACTCCATGGCACATCACAACAACAGCTAGTCTTTACAGAAGCAGATGGGCCGTGTCTTTGTCCTGCGTTGTTGTTGTTAAGTACCATGGAATTGGTTCCAACTCATAGTGACCCTGCACAGGGTTTTCAAGGCTGTAAATCTTTACGGGAGCAGAAAGCCTCATCTTTCTCCCACGGAACAGCTGGTAGTTTCCTACTGCCGACCTTGGGGTTAGCAGCCTGATTCGTAACCACTACGCTACCAGAGCACCTTTTCACCTGTGTAGCAGCTGGTGAATTCAAATCACAGAGCTTTTGGTTCGCTGCCAAGTACTGTAACCAGTGCATCACCAGGGCTCTGAATTTACCCCTCAGCTTGATCTTTTTAACTTGTAAGCATCGTTTATCTTGAGGCTCACCTGCAGTCACTCAGCGAAGTGGCAGGCGTTTTGTTTCTATGGTCGTCTATTAAACCAGTGTCAGTAAAAGTTCCTGAGATGTCACAGCTGGCCTCATGTCACAGGCGCACTGGTTTCCTGGTTTGTGAGGTTGACCGCACACCCATCCATCCTGTCACTGGGGACGCAGTATAGGAACGGGTCTGAGATTCAGATGACAGGGATGAAGAGAGGTGCTCAGACGGAATAGGCATCCCACTGTAGCCAGAACTCGGGGCCCAGGCCCCGTCAGAGAAAGCTGCTGCTCAGCACATTTCTCCTGTTCCCTTATAGGCAAGGTGATCAAGCGGGTCAAGCCAAAGCGCTCCACGTCCTTCTTCAGCCGGCAGCTCTCCATGGGTCAAGGGATCTACAGCGTGGTGCAGCCCACAGACAGCCTGGAGCAGAGCTGAGGGCAGCAGCACCGGCAGAGCAGGGCTCCTGGAGGCCCTGGGACCCAGCCCTGCCCTCCTGCAGGCCAGGCGGGCTGAGTTAGTCCCTGGAGGTAGAAGGTGTGCGTGCGTCAGGCACCCCTGTTGCTGAGGATCTGCAGGTGTTTCAGACTGTGGATCAGTGACTTCTGAACTGGGAATGATGCTGAGGCCTACAGAGCTGATGGGTGGGCTTCCCCTCAGGACCCCTTGTACAGCCTCCCTCCTTCCTTGGACTCCAGGCCCAGCCACTCCCTCCCATCCAGAGGTCTCCTTTCTGCTTCTCAAGAAGGACAGTGTCCCCTGGTCTGAAGTGCCTGCTGCTGTCTCACCCAGTAGTGTTTCTGATGACAGGTGGCTGAGGATAGGGCTCAGGATCTACAGGTCCAGTCTGTGCCTTTTGTCTTTACTTTGGACTTCGAGGACATGTCCCACACACTTGCTGCCAGGCTGGGCTGTGCTCTGGAGGGCAGAGACGGGGCCCCTTGTGCAATTGAACCACAGTAGAAACCGAGGTGATGAGGCCCCCCCACCCCCCCAAGTCTTCCTGGCTGAACCATGGCCCTAGGCACACTGTCTTCGGGACTGGGGATGCTTTGCTGGGATTAGCAGGATTGGACAGGACCCAGCTTGGACGGTTTCCTCAGGTCTTATAGGTAGGAGCTGCTCTAGCCAGAAGGAATGCTTTTCATGATGTCACACACTGGGGGTGGGGGGCTGTCATATGGAGGAGCAAGCCCCACAGACCCACACTCCCTGCTCTGTGAAAGTTCCCCTTAGCCTAAGTGGTTCTCCTCACCAAACCTCAGCCTACCATTTCTCCCATGGTGTTCTGGGTCTTGGCTTTTTGTTTTCCCTATCTGCTTTGATTAATTGAAGCTAGTGAGCTCTGGGACAACTCAAAGAAACAACCTTGTTTACCTCAGAGCTTCTGGTTTATCTTCAAAGATGGCGCTGGGGGTTTTCAGACAGCCTCTCCATCTGGCCTGAGGACAACTGCACCATGTGTCCTGGCAACAAGAGACCATCTCATCTTAAGTTAAATTGAAAAGAAGGTTTGGTGTGGGTGCTCAGCTCTGCCCTCCTGGCCACCCTGACTCTGGGTCACGTTATATGAGCTGGCAGCTCCCAGATGTTTCCTGGGCTGTCCCACCGGAAGGAAGCAGGTTCCAAGCCCATTAGTGGCCTGTGAACACTCCAGGTGGGCATTCCTCTGGCAGCAGAAGCTTTGCTGTTGATTAGACCAAATCAGTGGAAAGAGGCTGAGGAGGAGGGGGCGATGCTAGCTGCCACATTTTATCTTCCCTCCTGCAGATACGGGATCCACTGATAGCCTCAGCCCAGCCAGTTCTCCCAGGGGGAGGGGGCCCAGCCCTGTTATCTGGGTCCCACTGAATGTTTTGATCCCAGAAGTCTCTTATCTGCTGAGCGTGCCAGGAGTAGGGTGCCCGTGTTTACGCACAAGCACATAATGTGTTTTGACTCAACAGCCTGTCTCCTGACTGTCCTCTGTGCCTGACTTCACCTCCTGCCTGCCCTTTGGGACAAAGCAGGATTTTACTAAGTGTCCTTGAGTATTCTTGTTCTTTTGTATCATGTGACTCATTCGTAATAAAATCTGTTGCCAGCAAACCCTGGGAGGTTTACAATATGAAATAATGAGGTGTATTCATTACAGCCTGTTTGTTGGTTTCTATTAAATCCACACTAAGCCCTTGGGCACTCCAAGCCCAATGCTCATGGGCCCCTGAGTCACGGTTTCTCATCCAGGCCCTCTATCAGGGACTAGAAGGAACAGAGAGGGGTTTGGGGTTCCTGGTAGGGAGCCAGGCACTAATGGCTGAGCTAGCCAGAGCCTGTGACTACTCTTGATTGCTTACCACCCCCACCCTGGCCTGTGGGCAACTCAGCTGATATTAGGGTGCCTTCTGTTTGCGCTCCTCACACCTGGGGTCAGGCTCACATGCTGTCATAGTGTCAATGCCCTCTGGGAGCCAGACAGTCCAGGAGCTCTGGGGCGCCTGCACCTGGCCAGGAAGGGTTTGTTCCCACAGATCCTGTTGCCCCGATTGGGAAGGGACAGTGTCAGACCCGCCTCTCAACGCCTAGGGCCCACAGGAAGTGTGGGAGCAGTGATAGAGGCAGTACTTGGGAACCGTGGGGAGTCGGGTCACATTGTAAAAGCTTCCTGAGATGTTAAGTCCTTGCAGCTGAGCGACCCTGGTTAGGGACCTGTGTGGACACCCAGGGTAATAAGTGGTGCCTCACCCTCCGGGCTCCTGGGCACTTCACTAACCTTGTGGTAGCACCTTGGTTTCTTGACCTTGAAATAGGTATGGCAATGCCCACATTAGGATTGCTCAGGTGGATTTGGGTCTGGCCTAAAGTAAGCACTTAGTAGGTGTTAGCAGTTTTCATTATCTAAAGGCCTGGTGTAGCATTGTAGGATAAGCACTAGACTTAACTACCAGATTGGCAGTTCAAATGCACCAGCTGCTCCTTGGAAATACTATACAGGGTTGCAAGGAGTCAGATCTGACTTAACACTATCCAACCAAAGTCACTGGAAAGCTGGGAGAGAAGAAAGGCCACGTGAGAGGCTGGCAGGCCCCCCATTTTGGTGGGGTCCTGTGGCTCAGAGCCCCTTCCAGCTACCGAGGCCATGCCATCTGGTCAGTCGTATTGTCACAGGTAGGGCTTCGATTCGGTTTTGTGGGCTACAAGATGTCAGGAGCTGCTAGGGGAGAATCCATGTCCTTCCTTTTCTCCAGTTGAGCACTGGGCACTATGGTCTTAAGGTCAGGTGAGCAGGTGGCTGACTTGAGTCTATAAGAGCCAAAATATGACCTCGAGTATGTAGTTCTATTGATAAGTGCTGTTGAGTCAGTTCCAACTCATAGTGAACCTGTATAAAGTTTCCAAGGAGTGAGTGAGGAATCTGAAATAACACTCGTGCGATTACCAATCCAGAGCTTATCCTACCACACCGGGACCTTGACTATATTCCACCTGAATTTAGAGATCATCTCAAGGACAAATCTGATGCACTAGACTACTGACCAGAGAGCAGAGGACTTGTGGGATGACTTCAAGAACAGCATACATGGGACTTCCAAGCAAGATGGAAGACTAGGCAGACACAAAACATGGACCCTCTACAGCAAAGATACAAGAGACCAAATGAAACACAGATGAAAATCCTGGAGCCCTGAACTTCAGAGGAAGCCTAGAGAAGTGGATTGAGTGTTTACTGAGGGGAGAAGCTGAGCAGGGATGGCAATACAGGGAGACTGACTGGTGAATGACTCGCCAGATGCTGCACAACCATCTTGAACTTTTGGTGAGCAGCTTTGGTAACAGAGGGTGACCTTGCAGAACAGATTCACAAAGGTGACAGGAAGGGTGTGGTTCCTTCTTTTCCCCATGTTCCTCTGGTGGCCAGAGGTGTGGCCAGCTCCCACCATCATCCCTCAAAGCACAGACCCTGCTCTCCAGCTGTTCAGAGCCACATGGTTGTGAGCCATGTCAGTCTGAGATGGAGGCTGGCTGTGCCACACTGGTGGTCTGGATTCAGGTGGGCTTGACTCCAGACCTATAGAACCCGCAGAGCTACCACACCAGCATTAGTCTATCAGAAACCCTCATAAACAGCCACCCTGCCCCCAACTGCCTGTGGTCCTAACAAACACTGAAGCCAGCTCTATCAAGGGCCTCCACAAACTCCTGGATTGAGTGCCCTGAACACAGATAACACCTAGACCTGTAGGAACTCCATCCAGGGCCAGGAACTCTGCTGCCATACCCTATCCTCCCACACCCACCGCGTGAGCTCTATGGCTGACAGCACTCCCCGAGAATTTTCTCTTGTCTGGGTTCAACAGCTGCACTGTTTTTTGCTTCGATTTGGTTTTTCCCTTTTATGGTTTTATTGCTTTTGATTATTCTTTCTCTTTTTCCATTCCCTTGAATATTGTCCCTTCTATCTGTTTTTGGTTTTCCTTCTTTTCTTCTGTTTCTTATTTCTTTTCTTTTTTCTTTTGATCTTTACTACTCTCTACTCTCTTCATCTTCCCTCTCCCTAATTTTTAAGTGTTTTAAAATTTTTCTTCCTTTTATTTTGTCTTATTTTTCTCTTCTATAACCCCATTTTCCTTTCCCACTTTTCTCGTTTCAGTTCTTAGATTCTTTTTTTCTGATGGCTGCCTGTTTTTGTTTTTCTTCCTTTATTATTTTCTCTTTTCATCATTGGTTCCTTGTTTGTTTATTCCTTTTGTTTTCCTTGTGTGTGTTTCTCATCTTTCTACACCCACAGGAGACAGATGGTGGGAGCCTAAGAACACATCAACATACAATGATCAATTAAATACAATGCCACCACAATGTCCCAGAGACAACAAACAATTTTAGCGCACTTGCACATGAAGAAATAGAAAATGGCTCAAACAAATGACCAAGACGTAGAGACAGAAAATGTTTCTAAGGAAGAAAAGGTAATGGAACTAACTGAAAAAGAATTCAAAAGAATGATATTTAGGTATCATGAAAGGATTGACAGAAAGATTAAGCAAAGAAAGGAGAACACAGAAAAAACTTTTGGCGGATTTCGGGAAACCCTTCCAGGACTGGCCAACTTAATTGCAATTTTTGAACCATTTTAACCTTGCATTTGGTTGCTTGGAGGTTTATTGTTAGGTTTTCAGAATTGGCCATTTTTTTGAAGGGCCAAGGGGTTGATTTGAAGCAATAGAAGCCCAAACTAGTGAGCTTGAAGATAAACCTCTTAATGCTAGAATGCTAGATGAATAATCAGAAAAAAAGAATAAAAATGTCCAAAGAAAGCCTAAGAGTTATGTAGGCTACCATGAAGAGGATCAACGTATGGGTGATTGGCATTCTTGAACCGGAAGAGACAATAAAAAGTACAGAGAAAACTGTTGAAGACTTGTAGGAAGGAAGATTTCCCTCACATGAAAGAAGAATGA